GAGAGAGTGTGAGAGAGTGTTAGAGAGTGTGAGAGAGTGGAGGAGGTGTGAAGAGAGTGTTAGAGAGTGTGAGAGATCGAGTGTGAGAGAGTGCGTGTTTACCGAGTGTGAGAGAGTGTTAGAGAGTGTGAGAGAGTGTGAGAGAGTGTTAGAGAGTGTTAGAGAGTGTGAGAGAGTGTTAGAGTGTGGGAGGAGTGTTGGAGAGTGTTAGAGAGTGTTAGAGAGTGTGAGAGAGTGTTAGAGTGTGGGAGAGTGTGGAGAGTGTGAGAGAGTGTTAGAGAGTGTGACAGAGTGTGAGAGAGTGTTAGAGAGTGTTAGAGAGTGTGAGAGAGTTTGAGAGAGTGTGAGAGAGTGTTAGAGAGTGTTAGAGTGTTAGAGATTGTGAGAGAGTGTGAGAGAGTGTGAGAGAGTGTGATAGAGTGTTAGAGAGTGTGAGAGAGTGTGAGAGAGTGTTAGAGAGTGTGAGAGAGTGTTAAAGAGTGTGAGGGAGTGTGAGAGAGTGTTAGAGAGTGTTAGAGAGTGTGAGAGAGTGTGAGAGAGTGTTAGAGAGTGTGAGAGAGTGTTAAAGAGTGTGAGAGAGTGTGAGAGAGTGTTAGAGAGTGTGAGAGAGTGTTAGAGAGTGTGAGAGAGTGTGAGAGTGTTAGAGAGTGTGAGAGAGTGTGAGAGAGTGTTAGAGAGTGTGAGAGAGTGTTAGAGAGTGTTAGAGAGTGTGAGAGAGTGTTAGAGAGTGTGATAAGTGTTAGAGAGTGTGACAGAGTGTGAGAGAGTGTGAGAGAGTGTTAGAGCGTGTGAAAGAGTGTGAGAGAGTGTGAGAGAGTGTTAGAGAGTGTGACAGAGTATGAGAGAGTATGAGAGAGTGTGAGAGAGTGTTAGAGAGTGGGAGAGAGTGTTAGAGAGTGTGAGAGAGTGTGATAGAGTGTGAGAGAGTGTTAGAGAGTGTTAGAGTGTTAGAGATTGTGAGAGAGTGTGAGAGAGTGTGAGAGAGTGTGATAGAGTGTTAGAGAGTGTGAGAGAGTGTGAGAGAGTGTTAGAGAGTGTGAGAGAGTGTTAAAGAGTGTGAGGGAGTGTGAGAGAGTGTTAGAGAGTGTGAGAGAGTGTGAGAGAGTGTTAGAGAGTGTTAGAGAGTGTGAGAGCGTGTGAGAGTGTGAGAGAGTGTTAAAGAGTGTGAGAGAGTGTGAGAGAGTGTGAGAGAGTGTGAGATAGTGTTAGAGAGTGTGAGAGAGTGTGAGAGAGTGTTAGAGAGTGTGAGAGCGTGTGAGAGTGTGAGAGAGTGTTAAAGAGTGTGAGAGAGTGTGAGAGAGTGTGAGAGAGTGTGAGAGAGTGTTAGAGAGTGTGAGAGAGTGTGAGAGAGTGTGAGAGAGTGTGAGAGAGTGTGAGAGAGTGTTAGAGAGTGTGAGAGAGTGTGAGAGTGTTATAGAGTGTGAGAGAGTGTGAGAGAGTGTGAGAGAGTGTGAGAGAGTGTGAGAGAGTGTGAGAGAGTGTGAGAGAGTGTGAGAGAGTGTGAGAGAGTGTTAGAGAGTGTGAGAGAGTGTGAGAGTGTTATAGAGTGTGAGAGAGTGTGAGAGAGTGTGAGAGAGAGTTAGAGTTTGTGAGAGAGTGTTAGAGAGTGTTAGAGAGTGTTAGAGAGTGTGAGAGCGTGTGAGAGAGTGTTAGAGAGTGTGAGCGAGTGTGAGAGAGTGTTAGAGAGTGTGAGCGAGTGTGAGAGAGTGTTAGAGAGTGTGAGAGAGTGTGAGAGAGTGTTAGAGAGTGTGAGAGAGTGTGAGAGAGTGTTAGAGAGTGTGAGAGAGTGTTAGAGAGTGTGAGAGAGTGTGAGAGAGTGTTAGAGAGTGTGAGAGAGTGTTAGAGAGTGTGAGAGAGTGTGAGAGTGTTAGAGAGTGTGAGAGAGTGTGAGAGAGTGTTAGAGAGTGTGAGAGAGTGTTAGAGAGTGTGAGGGAGTGTGAAAGAGTGTTAGAGAGTGTTAGGGTTTGTGAGAGAGTGTTAGAGAGTGTTAGAGAGTGTTAAAGAGTGTGAGAGCGAGTGAGAGAGTGTTAGTGTGAGAGAGTGTGAGAGAGTGTTAGAGAGTGTGAGAGAGTGTGAGAGTGTGAGAGAGTGTGAGAGTGTTAGAGAGTATGAGAGAGTGTGAGAGAGTGTTAGAGAGTGTGAGAGTGTTAGAGAGTGTGAGAGAGTGTGAGAGTGTAGAGAGTAGAAGTGTAGAGAGTGTGAGAGTGTTAGAGAGTGTTAGAGTGTTAGAGAGTGTGAGAGTGTTAGAGAGTGTGAGAGAGTGTTAGAGAGTGTGAGAGTGTGAGAGAGTGTGAGAGTGTTAGAGAGTGTGAGAGAGTGTTAGAGAGTGTTAGAGTGTGTGAGAGAGTGTGAGAGTGTTAGAGAGTGTGAGAGAGTGTGAGAGTGTTAGAGAGCGTGAGAGAGCGTGAGAGCGCGTGAGAGCGCGAGAGAATGGGATTTGGAACGGGATTTCGGAACGGGATTTCGGAACGGGATTTGGAAAAAATCCCGTTCCAAATCCCGTTCCATTAGGGTTAGGGTTATGGTTAGGGTTAACCCTAACCCTAAACCCTACCCCTAACTTAATGCAATTATAACTTTCTAATTAGCAAACTCCCTAATTTAATGAATTAGCATAATTTCGGAAAATTACACAATTTTCAGTTAATTTTCATTATTTTATAAAAAATTCAAGATCGAAAATACAACACCGCTAACCCTTAATCCTAAACCAACCCAAAGCCTAACCCCTAACACTAACCCTAACACTAACCCTAACCCCTCGCCCTAACCCTCTAACATCAGCATTCAGTCCTTGTTGGACCAAATCTTCAATGAATGCAATGGTGTCAGGCAATTTTTTCAAAAAAAAGCTGTATTCAAATATTGAAATTCATTGAAGATATTCAAACACACCTTTTTCACAGTCGCTTTCATCAGATCCGCCAATACAGTCAGCTTCTCCATCACAAACGTAGATCCACTGCAAACATTCATTGTTGCTGTTGTTGCATGAAAACTGGTTTGCAGTACAGCCTTGAACAAAATAGGAAAAAAATATCCATGAAAATGTTATTTAGAATATTCATTTGAAAAAATACTATGAATCATTAATAAGTGAATTCAATTCATAATGGAACTTACTGCAGTTGCTTTCATCAGTAAAATCCCCACAGTCATTGACTCCATCACACAGGTACGCGATTCCCAGGCAGCTCCCATTGCCACAACGTATTTGGTCTGAGTGGCATACACAGTCTGGGGTCTCATCGCTCTGGTCTGCACAGTCAGTCACCCCATCACAGTACAGGCTTCCACGAATGCAGTGCTTCTTATCAGCACAGCGGAACTCACTTGGGGCGCATTCTGGTGTCACACAAATAAAAGATGTAGATTGTTAATTCATTGAACAATTCTTGGATCGTTTCTACTTCTTCATGCGTGACGTAGTTTGCATTCTCATCAAGTAATAGCTACCAGATTTGGAAAGGATTAATTGGCATCATCACTACCAGATGTGTAAAGGACTAATTGGCATCATCACTGTACTCTGTCTTGATTTATTTAGATCATCCTTGGATAGGGTGGCACATCAAATGTGGTGTCTTAGCAAAACCTCGTGTTTTGCATGGAGACCAAACATCCGGGTTAGAACTTGTACGTGTATTTTGAAGGCCCGACAATTTATATTACACTGGTATGTTAAAGTAACACATTAGTACAAATAACATTTGTAAACTTGCGGACTGGCACGTGGATTTTGTGCACACAGTGGAGACGTCGTGAACAAGCATCACTTTGCGGGCTGTTCACATTTCTAGGCGCAGCAGTGCAATTTCCAATGTTTTGTCCAATTTGAGGAGTTTCCTTGAACACTTCCGTATGTGTGAGACAGTATATCTGCAATTTTTTCAAGAAAAAGCTGTATTCAAATATTGAAACTCATTGAAGATATTCAAACACACCTTTTTCACAGTCGCTTTCATCAGATCCGCCAATACAGTCAGCTTCTCCATCACAAACGTAGATCCACTGCAAACATTCATTGTTGCTGTTGTTGCATGAAAATTGGTTTGCAGTACAGCCTTGAACAAAATAGGAAAAAAATATCCATGAAAAGGTTATTTAGAATATTCATTTGAAAAAATACTATGAATCATTAATAAGTGTATTCAATTCATAATGGAACTTACTGCAGTTGCTTTCATCAGTAAAATCCCCACAGTCATTGACTCCATCACACAGGTACGCGATTCCCAGGCAGCTCCCATTGCCCACCGCTTACACTAACATTGGCTGCTGACATTTGGGCTATGCCCATTTCAAACCTTTATAAACAGTTGCCTTTAGAGGCTAATCCCCCTTTTCCAGATGATGACTGCTTGTGTTGCGATCAAAACGTAGTTTTTTTTCTCTTTCAACCTATCTACATAACTTTACCGAAAGACCCAAAGAATATAATTAATACAATTAATCTCAATTAACGCCCCGTCAGCTAACGCCACGCCCACTTTAATATTTGGGCAAATCTCTGATCGGTGATTTCATTGGGTATACGATTTTATCATATTACAGCGCCACCTGTCGCAACGTGACGCAAATTTATCAATCGGTCTCCACTCGCTAAGTGAACGTTTTGCTTGGTTTTTGTACAAATGGTCTAAATTCAAAATGTCTAGTTATAGCGAATGTTCATAGAAATCACGCTCGTTAAGCGAGATATGCCTGTACAATACATCACACTGACAGGTGACTCATGTCTGGTGGGTCTGGATGGCAGGTATTGATAGATTTACACCTTGATGAAGGTCACCCTTGATTGTTGCTGGGACAAATATCTGACCTGGTCCCTAATTCCGCAATGCATACAAAGATAATACATTTCCATACCATGAACTGCAGTCAGTGATAGCATGTTTTCTGCACCTGAAAACCAGTTTACTGGGTTATGAAGAGCCATGGTCTGAGCTTCCTCATTGATTTCAAAGTACAGTGCGACCAAAATACTTCACTTAGTCGGTGCCTCACCATGCGAGCAGCATTTTCTGAAGGCGCAACGTAAATGACTAAATTGATTTGTTAATGCCACGTGAATTTGTGTTTGGACCCTACTCTACTACGACCAACAAACTAAATATGGTAAGTATGATTTTATTTGCATTTCAAGACCTGTTTTGTGTTGTGTTTTTTTATTTTGTAAAGAAAAGATGTATTCTGGAGCCAGTTTTACATTCAGGTTTGTGCTTTATTCTAAATCAGAGGCAATTATTTGCCATGTCTGTGACCTCTTCAATTAGATTAGCTACCTTCAGTTAATATAGAAATATATAAGCTGGTTTACGTTTTCAAGGCAATTACTAAAATACGGCTGCTAAGCATATCCGGCTTACAAATTCCACACGTGGTAGAGGGCTATACCTTGAATACATAAATAGTATTACTTCTCAGTACATTTTTCACATGTAAATCGGTTTGTTGTTTGGTTATTACTATCATAAGTGCATTTGAACTATAAGCCACATACACCACATTTATGAAATGGAAATTGTGTAGCTATTCAGACTCTTCAAAAATATATGGCATAATGTCGGGTGCAGAAAACAGTGTCAGATGGTAAAACTCTACGGAGCGAGATAAAACATGCTAAAGAAACTCTCCAGTGAAATGGCTACAATAATGCTCACATTAACAGAGCATTGAATGCCAAACCAAGATCGAACAGCAATACTGCTGAAGGCGATCATGTTATTAAAACAAAATACAATATATTGCGGGAGTAACTGTCAAACTAGCTAGAATTTTGGAAAAAAACTAGACAGAGTAGAATTTGGCACAGTACACAAAATTCTAAAACTAGTATCTTGTACTAAAGATTAATTGCCAATGTTATCAAAAGAAGGTGTGTATTGTATTAATTGCTCTTGTGGTAAATGCTATCTTGGACAGATGGGATGTAACATTACTATCAGGCTAAAAGAACACCAAATAAATATTAAATTCTCACAAACACAACTGTCGGCAGTTGAAGAACATGCTTGCCAACAAAGACACTCAATTGATTTTGATAATGTTGAAGTATACTCTTTGGGTCTTTTGGTAAAGTCAAGCAGATAGAACAATTTAAAAAATCACGACGTTTCCATCGCAACACAAGCAATCGTCTTCAGGTGAAAAAATAGCTTTTATACTTACGCGATCTAACCAAAAAAACCTTTATTATGCATAATATCCTGCTTAGTGACCATATTTCCAAAAGTCTACTTTCAAAATGTACTTTTATCTGCACCGAAGGATCCTAACCTTATCGTGGTGGTTGGGTTTGTGTGTTCCATTGCCTGGAGCCTTATACTCCTGGTAGAGTCTCTCTTGTAGAACAGGTCTGGGGGAAGTTCCAGACAAATAACGGTCCCAAAAAAGCCCCTCATGAATGGTTCAGAAATATAAAAATCACAGAACGTCGCCTGGACAAGGTAAAACGGGACACCCCCCTGGAGCCAGCCCTGGGGGTGGTGTTCACTGGAAAGCACCTGGTGGCCAGGTGACCCACACAACCTGTTTAGACCCAGGCTGAAATTGCTACGTGGTGCCGTCCTGTGGAACCACCATCCACATGACGAAGGGTGAGGGGTGGGTGCGATGCCAGTATGGCAGGGAAAGGGATGGTCTCAGATGGACTGGACCTTGGAAATGGACACTCGCCATTGGGACGTGGAATGTGAGGTCACTGGGGGGGAAGGAGTCGGAGCTGATGGAGGAGGTGGAAAGGTACCAACTAGATATAGTTGGTCTCACCTCCACACACAGAACACAACTTCTCAATCGGGGATGGTCTCTCTCCTATTTCAGAGTAACCCCTGGTGAGAGACCCCGCGGGGGGTGCAGGGATACTCACAAGCCCCTGGCTGGGTGTTGTTCAGTTGGAGTTTGTCCCAGTGGAGGAGAGGGTCGCCTCAATGAGACTTCGAGTCTTAGAAAGGAAAGCTCTGACTGTTGTCTGTGCTTATGAACATAAGTTCAGAGTATTTTGCCTTCTTAGAGACTGTGGGTGCAGTGCTCGATAGAGTGCCACCTACCGACTCCATTGTCTTACTGGGCGACTTCAAAGTTCATGTAGGAAATTATAGAGATACCTGGAGAGGCGTGATTGTGAAGAATGCCCCTCCTGATCTGAAACTGAATGGTGAGATGTTATTGGAATTCTGTGCTAGTCTCGGAATCTTAATAACAAACACTATATTCGAACACAAGCATGATCATATATGTACTTGTTACCAGAACACCTTGTGCCGAAGGTCAATGATTGTATGTTCTGGACACTCGGGTGAAGAGAGGGGCAGAGTTTTCAACTGATCACACCTGCTAGTAAGTTGGATCTGATGCTTGGGGTACCGACCAGATAGACGAGGAATGCCCAAACGAATAGTGCGGGTTTTCTGGGAACGTCTGGCGGAAGACCTACAGTGAGGGAAAAAGTATTTGATCCCCTGCTGATTTTGTATGTTTGCCCACTGACAAATAAATGATCAGTCTATAATTTTAATGGTAGGTTTATTTGAACAGTGAGAGACAGAATAACAACAACAAAATCCAGAAAAACGCATGTCAAAAATGTTATAAATTGATTTGCATTTTTATGAGGGAAATAAGTATTTGACCCCTCTGCAAAACATGACTTAGTACTTGGTGGTAAATTCCTTGTTGGCAATCATAGAGGTCAGACGTTTCTTGTAGTTGGCCACCAGGTTTGCACACATCTCAGGAGGGATTTTGTCCCACTCCTCTTTGCAGATCTTCTCCAAGTCATTAAGGTTTCGAGGCTGACGTTTGGCAACTCGAACCTTCAGCTCCCTCCACAGATTTTTTATGGGATTAAGGTCTGGAGACTGACCTTAATGTGCTTCCTCTTGAGGCACTCATTTGTTGCCTTGGCCGTGTGTTTTGGGTCATTGTCATGCTGGAATACCCATCCACGATCCATTTTCAATGCCCTGGCTGAGGGAAGGAGGTTCTCACCTAAGATTTGATGGTACATGGCCCTGTCCATCGTCCCTTTGATGCGGTGAAGTTGTCCTGTCCCCTTAGCAGAAAAACACCCCCAAAGCATAATGTTTGCACCTCCATGTTTGACGGTGGGGATGGTGTTCTTGGGGTCATAGGCAGCATTCCTCCTCCTCCAAACACGGCGAGTTGAGTTGATGCCAAAAAGCTAAATTTTGGTCTCATTTGACCACACCACTTTCACCCAGTTGTCCTCTGAATCATTCAGATATTCATTGGCAAACTTCAGACGGGCATGTATATGTGCTTTCTTGAGCAGGGGGACCTTGCGGGCGCTGCAAGATTTCAGTCCTTCACGGCGCAGTGTGTTACCAACTGTTTTCTTGGTGGCTATGGTCCCAGCTGCCTTGAGATCATTTACAAGATCCTCCCGTGTAGTTCTGGGCTGATTCCTCACCGTTCTCATGATCATTGCAACTCCACGAGGTGAGATCTTGCATGGAGCCCCAGGCCGAGGGAGATCGACAGTTCTTTTGTGTTTCTTCCATTTGCGAATAATCGCACCAATTGTTGTCACCTTCTCACCAAGGTGCTTGGCAATGGTCTTGTAGCCCATTCCAGCCTTTTGTAGGTCTACAATCTTGTCCCTGACATCCTTGGAGAGCTCTTTGGTCTTGGCCATGGTGTAGAGTTTGGAATCTGATTGATTGCTTCTGTGAACAGGTGCCTTTTATACAGGTAACAAAGCTGAGATTGGGAGCACTCCCTTTAAGAGTGTGCTCCTAATCTCAGTTACCTGTATAAAAGACACCTGAGAGACACAAATCTTTCTGATTGAGAGGGGGTCAAATACTTATTTCCCTCATTAAAATGCAAATAAATTTATAACATTTTTGACATGCGTTTTTCTGGATTTTTTTGTTGTTATTCTGTCTCTCACTGTTCAAATAAACCTACCATTAAAATTATAGACTAATCATTTCTTTGTCAGTGGGCAAACGTACAAAATCAGCAGGGGATCAAAAACTTTTTTCCCTCACTGTAGTACAGAAATATTTCAACTTCCACCTCCAGGAAAACTTCTATACTCCAGGGGAGGTCATAGACATTGAGTTCGAGTGTGTGATGTTAAGGACCTCGATTGTCGATGCTGCTGTGAAAAGCTGTGGCCTGAAGGCAGTTGGTACCTATCATGGTGGCAACCCTAGGACCCGCTGGGGAACATCAGTGGTAAGGGAACCTGTCGAGTTGAATAGGGAGGCTATGCTCGGAAAAATATCTCCCAACTCGATTGAGACGTACCGGCTTGCCAAGAGGGCAGCAGCGGTAGCAATCGCTGAAGGGAAAGCGCGGGTGTGGGAGGAGTTTGGAGAGGCCATAGAGAGGGACTACCAGGCAGCCTCAAAAATGTTCTGGCAAACCATTTGACGCGGCCCAGGCTGCTGTCCATAAGGGTGGAGTTACATTGAACTCAACTAAGATGATAGTCGAGAGGTGGAAGGAACACTTTGAAGAGCTTCTCAACCCGGTGGACATGCCCTCCTCTCAGGAGGCAGCCCAGGAAACAGCTGCGGGGTCAGATCCATCACAGCTGCTGAAGTTGCTGCAGGGGTCAAGGGCCTTCGTAGTCGCAAAGCTGCTGGGGTGGACGAGATTCTCCCAGAGTTGTTGAAAGCGCTGGACAGTGTAGGAGTGTTGTGGTTAACACGCCTCTTCAATGTTGCATGGAAGACGGGTACAGTACCTCTGGATTGGGAAAATGGGGTCTTGGTTCCCATTTTTAAGAAAGGGGACTAGAGGGTGTGCTCCAACTACAGAGGAATCACACTCCTCAGCATTCCAGGTAATTCCAGAGTACCGGAGAGAAGACTCTGCCCAGTGTTCGAGCCTCAGATTCAGGAGGAACAATGCGGATTCCGTCATGGTCGTGGAACAATGGACCAGCTGTTTTCCCTCTCACAGATATTTTACGGTTCATGGAAGTATGCTTCTCCAGTCTACCTCTGCTTTGTAGACTTGGAGAAGGCATATGACCGTGTTGCGGTCATATGCCACAACACTCCGCAATGTCTTGTGGAAGGTGCTGCGGGAGTTTGATGTACCGGTGCCGCTTGTGTGGGCTATCTGGTCCCTCAATTCCTGTAGTGAAAGCTGCGTCCTTATTCTTGGTGTTAAATCAAAGTCGTTCAATTTGGGTGTTGGACTCCGCTAAGGGTGCGTCCTGTTTGTGATTTTCATGGACAGGATATAAATTTGCAGCCGAGGTATGAAGAGTATCCAGTTTGGGTTCATGGAGGTGGCGTCGCTGCTTTTTGCAGGTGACATTGTCCTCTTTGCCTCATCAGTCTGTGATCCCAAGCGTGCACTTTGAATGCTTTGATGCCGAGTGTGAAGCGGCTGGGATGAGGATCAGCACTTTCAAATCTGAGGTCATGGTTCACTCCCGGGAGATGGTGGATTGTACTCACTAGATGAGGGGGGAACAGCTTCCATAGTGGAGGAGTTTAAGTACCTCGGGGCCTCTTTTGCAAGTGATTGTAAGTGGGAGCGCGAGATCGGCGTCCAAAGTGTTGCGGGCACTGTACTGTTTCATAAAGCGGAGGCTGAATTCTCGAATAAAGCTCTCGGTTTACAGGTCGATCTACATTCCCACCCTGACCTATGGTCATGAGCTTTGGGTAATGACTGAAAGGATGAGATCGCAGGGGGCTGAAATGAGGTTTCTCTGCAGGGTTGCCAGGCTCTGTGATTGGGTGAGGAGCTCGGTAATCCGGGAAAGCCTCAGAGTCGAGCTGCTGCTCCTCTGAATTTAGAGCCAGTTGAGGTGGTTCTGGCACCTAATAAGAATGCCCTCTGATAGACTGCCCCTAAAACTCTACCGGGCACGTCCTACTGGGCAAAAACCCGAGGCCGGCCCAATATGCGCTGGCGAGACTATGTCACTTGGCTGGCCTGGAAATGCCTGGGAATTCCCCAGGAAGAGCTAGATTCTGTTGCCAAGGAAAGGGAAGTCTGGACCGCCCAACTCAACATGCCGTCGCTGACACCCTCACCAGGACAAGTGGATTGTGAAACGAACGAATACGCAATGGGCTCTCAATTCGTGGAAACTTTGTTTTTGTCTGCACACAAATTTAAGTCACCTAAAGTTTTCTATTTATCACATATACAATGTTTACATTTTAACAAGTGTCTTATACCTGTGTGTTTTTTCCTGAATAATAATAGTGAAAGAATGGCATGGAAATGTTTACACTTTCTGAGCCTTCTGACATCTCTGCATAGTGTCCAAGGTGAGACAACTGGATATGTTTTTCTGGTGAAATTGATATAACAATTTAAAATTTCCATTGTATGTGTGCCCTAAGTTAATGTTCTCCATAGTCTGGCTTGCTGCTGCGCTAGTAGTTGTATTTGTCTTGTCGAAAAATGTATTGGTATACAAGATACGCAAATGTCCGAATTATACCAAGTGAATTTTGTGCTTGAACTTGTTGTACCATTCGTCTACATTTAAAAATCCAGGACTGTACACGCACATTCGAGTCTGTATGTGTACAGCACTTTAATCAGTCCACATCTAGATAAAGCCACCTCATGCTGCAGGATGTGGGGGCTATTTTAAGCGACTAGTAAGATATATGTGTGACGGGCAGAACTGCGGAACATTGCTCGTGTGCAGCACCGTGCAAAAGCTGGCTCTACTTCTGGATTGCGGGTTAATCAATGTTGTCTGACTACAAGTTAAATATTTTTTCAAGGACACAGTTGGTGATGTTTTCACGATCAGCTGATGTCTAACCTGATTGCTATTGGGCCTTTCACTGTTAGGTTTTATGTTAATATAAGCTAATGCTTATGATTTCTCAGAGTATATAAAAAAGCATTCCCGACATAATGTCGAATTTAGTTTTTTCTTTGTAAAAGCAGAGGAAACACTCTAATTAGCCGATGTAAACAAAAGCGCGCATGTGAGGAAGTTAATTTCAATATCAGCACTGAACATCACCACTCACGTGGATCTCACAGTCAGTCTTATGAAATGTACAGTGCAAAGGACTACATATAAAGAAGCCTGTATATGGTAGACGTATATCAGAACACCATATGGGAGGGCCAACCCCTAGACATGTTTTTGCCAAGTGCCAAGTGTAGATTTAAGGGGAATGCAAGCAATGTGGATCCGATTGTCATTTTACGAAGTTAAGGTCAATAAGCTTGCCATATGTATTTCATGACATTCAGTGTTTATTTCAATAAGAATGTAAACAAACGAATTGCTTTGTACCATTTGTGGCTTATTTAAAATGTACTTTTTTATTTACTAACATTGGCCTTGCTAAAGTGCTGAATTTAATTAACCCAATAAATGTCAGGGACATGGAGTTTAATAATTATCGGATCATTAATTAACAGTGGACTCTGTTTGTTAAACAGGTCAAACAACACAAATTCCATCCACGACACAGCTGCTACTGTCATTTCCAACAACACATTTGGATATCGGTAAGATAATCAATGCCTCCAACATATTATTATGCTAGTTTACCCAGGGAAATCTCACCCATTCTCATGGGTGAGGGTTAAGGTGCTATATATATTAGGTTAAAATAAGATAAAGGGGGTAATGATTGCCATGTATAATCCCAATTAAATCATTTGTGGGTAATTTTTCAAATTTTAATAATTTGTACCATAACACCAGCACACAATGGCTTACTCTTGCAATCGTCATGGGACATTTAATGTCCACTGTGAAGCATGTGGCCCATATTTCATAGTAAATTCACCTGCAGTAATAACCAGGGCAGCCGTTGGATCACTGCCTCTGTATATGTTTAAAATATGCTAAACACGAAAGTGCCTGGTAGGCATTTAGCTCTATATTGTGATTCTAATTGCATGTTACATGAGCAGCCGATTCATTAAATTAAGCAGATGTGTACAACCTACGGCAAACGGAACAGAAGACCGGCCCGTGAGCACCAGGGGTACAAGGATGCTCGGCGAACAACTCAGAGAGCTGTTGGCTGTAAGCAGGCTACCACAGGGTTTAACCTCAGCCAGGTCTGGGCTGGTTAGCGACAAGGAAAATATTTCTGCACCCAACACACCACATTCCGTATAGCTCACACTATTGCTGTAGCTACTCATCACGTACCTAAGTCAATTTATTAACGACCTGGAAAAAATATCAGAGATAAGTGAAGCCCTGGGCTACTGCTATCTAACATTCCCGAACTTTGGCAATCCATGGGGAGCTAAATTATTCCCAATTTTTCGACATTCTCGATAAAGGTTGCATACTCCTAAAAAAATAATAATAAAAAGTAGTAGCAATATTCATTCAACCAGTGGATGCTGGGCTGTCACTAGACGTCTTTTCCTGGGAGGCAATATGGATTTCTTGACCAGAAAACTTTAATCAGAGCTTACTGCCTACCTGATCTGCAGCCATTGCTTGCTCCTGTGTTGAACTAGCTTACAGCTGTCTATATTGATATGTGAATAAAATAACAGAAATATAATTATCTAAATAGTGTGTGATAAGAACTCAGCCATAGTTATATCAGTAGATCGAGCCTGCCATGGGACCATGACATTTTCACAGGTGACCCAAGGCTTCTTACAGATGTAGTGACATAAGAGGGGAGGAGCTGCTGGGGGCTCTGGGACCCTAGGCAACCCAGACGCTTAAGCCCCTTGGTGCCAGGCGCTGGGACCCTAGGCACCCCAGCCAGTTAAGCCCCTTGGCGCCACCAACCGGGGGGGGGGGGGGGGCGGCTGTGTGTGCTCTGTGGGATATCTGGGGGCGGACACAACCCCACCCCTCGTTGGGGACGAGGCATAAAAGGGCAGCTTCCTGGCCGATCAGGGCCAATTGTAGCCCAAGACCCAAGACCAGCCATCTCAGGACCCTGGGACGCTGTGAGGGCCAGTGGTGGGACTCTGGAACTCCCGACTCTACGTCCTTGTGAGGGCGAGTTCCAGAGCGTAGCCAGAGTAGTGTATCTAGGCTGTGTACCTAGGCTGTGTACCTAGGCTGTAACAGAGTATCAGGACTGTTGGAGTGTTGTTGGATTGTAATAAAGAAGTTACCTCTACAAGTGTCTCCGGAACCCATTACATTTGGAGTCAGAAGTGGCCATGGAGACAAGAAGTAAGCCACGTACCTTCAGTCCTGACGACGATGTCGAGGAGCAAGCAGCGATGGGGCGGCCAACGCCGGCCGACAACGACGCCGCACCGCCGGCCGACAATGACGCCACACCGCCGGCCGACAGCGACGCCGCACCGCCGGCCGACAACGACGCCGCACCGCCGGCCGATGGCGATGCCGCACCGCCGGTCGACAACGACGCCGCACCGCCGGCCAATGGCGACGCCGCAACGCCGGCTGAGCAGCTGTCTGCTCCGCTGACCGTCCCCTCTCCAGCGTCGGGAGCAGGGATGGAGGAGGCGCTGCTTCGCCTCGCAGAGCTGCTCTGCGCCACCGCCTCCCTGCTGGGCGAGATGCGGCGCTCACAGGCAATGGCGGGAGGGAGAGAAGAGGCGCAGTGCTCGCCCGAGCCCGCCACTGCCGTTCCCGCCACCGGCATTCCCTCCACAAATGTGGGGGATACTTCCGAGTGTGTCGTCACTTCCGCCGGGAGAGCAATGACCGCTGGGAGCAACGTCACTTCCGGGCCCAGCATGGTCCAACCAAACAACGCCGCATCATCAGAGCTGCGACCTTCACCGCCGGGCGACAGCTGGCTTCAACCTAGCATAACGCGTCATCAGCGCTGCGACCGGACAATGAGGGCGCCATTCTTACTGTAACCGGCGCTGGGGCCGGCACATCGACCGACACGCAGGTCGCCGCCTTTGCTGCTCTGGCCAAAGGTTGGAGGTCGGGAGACCAGGCCCCTGACACTTCGTCCATTTACGCGCTCCAGGTTAATGATTTTTGTTGACATTTTCTTCGTTGTCGTTGGGGAGTCGTGATTGTTGTTGGGTAAACTGTGTGGAGCTTCGCTCGTTAGTGTTGTCAATGTGTGTGCAAAACTTTGCTTGTCATTGTTAACAATGTATGGTTTGTATGGAACTTTGTTCGTGATTGTTAATGTATAGCTTGTGCTTTCATTGTTAACGATGTATAGACTGTATGGGGCATTTATCTTGAGATGGTGACATGCTGCCAGGGATTTGGAATTGTCGTGCTGGCTCTCAAATATCTTGGGGTGCAGATCCTGACCAGGATGGCCCAGTGGGTGTTGCGTGTCTAACACGAGAGTTGTGGTCCCGTCATGCTATGGCTGACGGCTTGACCTGACAGCCTGGAGATAGAGACACTCCGTGGCATGTCTAGCCTAGTGGGCTGTGCGCTCACATGGCTTGGAGAGTGTGGTCCCGTCATGCAATGGCTGACGGCTTGACCTGACGGCCCGGAGGTTGAGACCCTCCGTGGTGCGTCTGGAGCTGTTGGCTCGCCCTGACAGCCCAGAGATTGAAACACTCCGAGGCGCGTTGAAACAGTGGGCTGGAGATTCGTAGTGTTCAGGTGTAGTTGTCCCATTACGTTGGGACTGTATCCCTCAGTTGTTAGGGTGCATGTTGTGCAGTGAGTGAACGATGGGTCATCTCAGCTCGGTCGGTACAGCTATATGCTGCGACGCGAGTCTTGGAGAGAGACTGGGTTGAAGTTCCCCCGATACGGCCGACGCGTGAGGGTCAGAAAGGCGGAGTGTGATGCCGAGTGGCATGAGATGTCCGGGTTGGCCTTCAAGGGAGGGCTGCTGGGTTGTGCGAGCGCGGGAGACCACGGGGATGCAGTTCAGACCGTGGAGGTGCCATCTCCTGCAGGGATCTGTGCGATGTCTCAGCCATATCATTGGCGAGTCGGGCATTGCTGCGGATCCCGAGGAGGGTTAGGTGTGCCGCGGGTCGTTTGTTCACGTGTCATTGCTTCACCTTTTTGTTGATTGACGCTTGTATATAGTGTAAAGTTGTATAGGTTGGTTAGGGTATTTATGGTTGCTTTCTTGTTCTCTTTTCTTTTCCTGTTGAGGCTCGCGTATTTTTTTTTCTTCCCTTTCGTTAATTTAAACATTCTAATTATTGACAGCCAGGACGGCTGGAGGCTACATAGAGGAGGGTAATGTAGTGACATAAGAGGCGAGGGGCTGCTGGGGGCTCTGGGACCCTAGGCATCCCAGACGCTTAAGCCCCTTGGCGCCACCAACGGGGGGGGGGGGGGGGGCTGTGTGTGCTCTGTGGGATATCTGGGGGCGGACACAACCCCACCCCTCGTTGGTGACGAGGCATAAAAGGGCAGCTCCCTGGCCGATCAGGGCCAGTTGTAGCTCAAGACCCAAGACCCAAGACTAGCCATCTCAGGACCCTGGGACGCTGTGAGGGCCAGTGGTGGGACTCTGGAACTCCCGGCTCTACGTCCTTGTGAGGGCGAGTTCCAGAGCGTAGCCAGAGTAGTGTATCTAGGCTGTGTACCTAGGCTATGTACCTAGGCTGTAACAGAGTATCAGGACTGTTGGAGTGTTGTTGGATTGTAATAAAGAAGTTACCTGTACAAGTGTCTCCGGAACCCATTACACAGAGAGGAGTGTTCCCCAATGGTAATCCAAGCATGGGGGCAAAAGTTAAAACTTTGAATTTAAACATGTATTTTCTAAAAAACGATTATCCTTCGGAGGCAACGTAAAAGGGCTCGCTATTTACAAACCTTATGATACTAGTATTCTTTATTTATATATTTTAAAGTCCATCAATGAATAATGCACAACAAACGTAAAAAATCATAAACACTTGAGTGCCAGTATAAAAGTATAGACTTAAATAGTGAAGTAAACATAATTCGTCATCACAAAACATTCTGCCTCGCTTGTGAAAATCTGTCCATCACTATGTATCCACTGTGCTGGTGGCTCCAGTGTGTGCAGCAGACCAGTACCAGTGTGCAGATCACAAGAGCTGCATTGCGCAGAGATTCTACTGTGACGGGACCCTCGACTGCACCGATCACAGCGATGAGACGCCCAACTGCCAATGTTTCTCCAACCAGCAGCGCTGTGCCAATGGAACCTGTTTGGCAACAAAAAGCTTCTGCGATGGTGTCAATGATTGTGGGGACTATTCCGATGAGACCAACTGCAGTGAGTTATGTAGTGTCAGCGATACATTAGGGTTTTCCACGTGAATGACCATGCAGGGGGTTACACATGTCCTTGAATACCAAAGGGGATACAATCTAATGAAAACAAATATTGCAATATAATTTCCACGGTTTGTCAAATATAGTGTTTATGACATGGCCTCAACGTGCACATGGTCTGGCACAGCCTCCGTGGTGACGTCACCGCCACTAAGGAATGATGGTTGTTGTTATAAAATGTCTTTAGAAGAATTTTGAAAAAAAAAGGAATTGTGCTATTTACCCTCTTGTTGCATTCCTCAGCTTGCTCACCAAACCAGTTTTTATGCAGCAACATTGGCCGGTGTCTGGATTGGATCTACGTTTGTGATGGGGACGTGGACTGCAGTGATGGTTCTGATGAAACTGGCTGTGAAAAAGGTGACGTAGCAGAACAAGTAGGCCACGAATTATAATTTAGCCTACTAAACTTACTTATTCTTCTGAATGCAAGAAAATAAGAACTGCATTTGTGGAAGCCTGTACTGTGATGGGTAGGCTGACTATGCAGACCAGAGTGATGAGACCCCAGACTACTTTAACATACAAATGTAATGCACGTATGATGTGCCACCCCATCCAAGGATGATCTAAATAAATCAAGACAGAGGACAGTGATGATGCCAATTAGTCTTTTCCAAATCTGGTAGCTGTTACTTGATGAGAATGCAAACTACGTCAAGCATGAAGAAGCAGAAACGAATCAAGAATTGTTCAATGAATTAACAATCTACATATTTTATTTGTGTGACACCAGAATGCGCCCCAAGTGAGTTCCGCTGTGCTGATAAGAAGCACTGCATTCGTGGAAGCCTGTACTGTGATGGGGTGACTGACTGTGCAGACCAGAGCGATGAGACCCCAGACTGTGCATGCCACTCAGACCAAATACGTTGTGGCAATGGGAGCTGCCTGGGAATCGCGTACCTGTGTGATGGAGTCAATGACTGTGGAGATTTTACTGATGAAAGCAACTGCAGTAAGTGCCATTATGAATTGAATTCACTTATTAATGATTCATAGTATTTTTTCAAATGAATATTCTAAATAACCTTTTCATGGATATTTTTTCCTATTTTGTTCAAGGCTGTACTGCAAACCAGTTTTCATGCAACAACAGCAACAATGAATGTTTGCAGTGGATCTACGTTTGTGATGGAGAAGCTGACTGTATTGGCGGATCTGATGAAAGCGACTGTGAAAAAGGTGTGTTTGAAAATCTTAAATGAGTTTCAATATTTGATTACAGCATGTTCTTGAAAAAATTGCAGATATACTGTCTCACACATACGGAAGTGTTCAATGAAACTCCTTAAATTGGACAAAACATTGGAAATTGCACTGCTGCACCTCGAAATGTGAACAGCCCGCAAAGTGATGCTTGTTCACGACGTCTCCACTGTGTGCACAAAAGCCACGTGCCAGTCCGCAAGTTAACAAATGTTATTTGTTTCTAATGTGTCACTTTAACATACCATTGTAATATCAATTGTCCGGCCTTCAAAATACACGTACAAGTTCTAACCCGGATGTTGGGTCTCCTTGCAAAACACAAGGTTTTTCTAAGACAACAATTATGATGTGCTACCCCATCCATGTGTTGAACACCCGAAATTAAGGACGTGGGCAGGTGCTCCAAGTCGAGGGCAGACACATTTATTGTGGTTAATAGCAATCTTGTGAAGAACAGCACCGTCACTCTGTAAAATGCACCAACACGTGTGTCACACACATCAATTCTTCCGAGTCGCCATTAACCGTGTCGCCATTAACCGTGTCCAAGTCCAGTTAATCATTAACGCTGCCAGCCACCTACAGGCCCAACTCAGTCATCACATGCTGCTGTACACACATGCCTTGATTCACTGCACAGCACATCAGGACTTTCACAGAACCACACTTTACTCCCTTGCTGCACAAGGACATAATTAAAAGAGTGGTCCCTTCCTAATGTGCAACACATGGATGATCTAAATAAATCATGGCAGAGTACAGTGATGATGCCAATTTGGCATTTCCAAATCTGGTAGCTATTACTTGATGAGAATGCAAACTACGTCACGCATGAAGAAGTAGAAACGATCCAAGAATTGTTCAATGAATTAACAATCTACATCTTTTATTTGTGTGACACCAGAATGCGCCACAAGTGAGTTCCGCTGTGCTGATAAGAAGCATTGCATTCGTGGAAGCCTGTACTGTGATGGGGTGACTGACTGTGCAGATCAGAGCGATCAGACCCCAGACTGTGTATGCCGCTCAGACCAAATACGATGTGGCAATGGGAGCTGCCTGGGAATCGCGTACCTGTGTGATGGAGTCAATGACTGTGGGGATTTTACTGATGAAAGCAACTGCAGTAAGTTCCATTATGAATTGAATTCACTTATTAATGATTCATAGTATTTTTTCAAATGAATATTCTAAATAACCTTTTCATGGATATTTTTTTCCTATTTTGTTCAAGGCTGTACTGCAAACCAGTTTTCATGCAACAACAGCAACAATGAATGTTTGCAGTGGATCTACGTTTGTGATGGAGAAGCTGACTGTATTGGCGGATCTGATGAAAGCGACTGTGAAAAAGGTGTGTTTGAAAATCTTCAATGAGTTTCAATATTTGATTACAGCATGTTCTTGAAAAAATTGCAGACATACTGTCTCACACATACGGAAGTGTTCAAGGAAACTCCTTAAATTGGACAAAACATTGGAAATTGCACTGCTGCACCTCGAAATGTGAACAGACCGCAAAGTGATGCTTGTTCACGACGTTTCCACTGTGTGCACAAAAACCACATGCCAGTTCGCAAGTTTACAAATGTTATTTGTTTCTAATGTGTTACTTTAACATACCACTGTAATATCAATTGTCGGGCCTTCAAAATACACGTACAAGTTCTAACCCGGATGTTGGGTCTCCATGCAAAACACGAGGTTTTTCTAAGACAACAATTATGATGTGCTACCCCATCGATGTGTTGAACACTTGAAATTAAGGACGTGGGCAGGTGCTCCAAGTCGAGGGCAGACACATTTATTGTGGTTAATAGCAATCTTGTGAAGAACAGCACCGTCACTCTGTAAAATGCACCATCACGTGTGTCACACACAGCGTTTCTTCCGAGTCGCCATTAACCATGTGACTGGTGTCCAAGTCCGGTTAATCATTAACGCTGCCAGCCACCTACAGGCCCAACTCATTAATTCTAGATTTGAAGCTTTCGTGACTGCAAGGATTCATATTCTTAGGTTTTTTCGGTAAAGTCACGTAGGTAAAACAATAAAATTAATAAAAGTAAAATAAAATAAAAATGACGACGTTTCGGAGGCAACACAAGTCTCCGTGCATCTTGATGCATCAAGATGCATCAAGATGCAGCAAATCTGGCTGTGACGGTCCCACCTGATGACGGAGACTTGTGTTGCCTCAAGATGCAGCAAATCTGGCTGTGACGGTCCCACCTGATGACGGAGACTTGTGTTGCCTCCGAAACGTCGTGATTTTCATTTTATTTTACTTTTATTAATTTTAATGTTTTACCTACGTGACTTTACCGAAAAAACCTAAGAATATGAGGCCCAACTCAGTCATCACATGCTGCTGTACACACATGCCTTGATTCACTGCACAGCACATCAGGACATTCACAGAACCACACTTTACTCCCTTGCTGCACAAGGAAATAATTAAAAGAGTGGTCCCTTCCTAATGTGCCAAACATGGATGATCTAAATAAATCAAGACAGAGTACAGTGATAATGCCAATATGGCATTTCCAAATCTGGTAGCTGTTACTTGATGAGTTTGTAAACTATGTCACGCATGAGGAAGCAGAAACGAATTAAGAATTGTTCAATGGATTAACAATCTACATCTTTTATTTGTGTGACACCAGAATGCGCCACAAGTGAGTTCCGCTGTGCTGATAAGAAGCACTGCATTCGTGGAAGCCTGTACTGTGATGGGGTGACTGACTGTGCAGACCAGAGCGATGAGACCCCAGACTGTGTATGCCACTCAGACCAAATACGTTGTGGCAATGGGAGCTGCCTGGGAATCGTGTACCTGTGTGATGGAGTCAATGACTGTGGGGATTTTACTGATGAAAGCAACTGCAGTAAGTTCCATTATGAATTGAATTCACTTATTAATGATTCATAGTATTTTTTCAAATGAATATTCTAAATAACCTTTTCATGGATATTTTTTTCCTATTTTGTTCAAGGCTGTACTGCAAACCAGTTTTCATGCAACAACAGCAACAATGAATGTTTGCAGTGGATCTACGTTTGTGATGGAGAAGCTGACTGTATTGGCGGATCTGATGAAAGCGACTGTGAAAAAGGTGTGTTTGAAAATCTTCAATGAGTTTCAATATTTGAATACAGCTTTTTCTTGAAAAAATTGCAGATATACTGTCTTACACATACGGAAGTGTTCATGAAAACTCCTTAAATTGGACAAAACATTTGAAATTGCACTGCTGCGCCTCGAAATGTGAACAGCCCGCAAAGTGATTCTTGTTCACGACGTCTTCACTGTGTGCACAAAAACCACGTGCCAGTCCGCAAGTTTACAAATGTTATTTGTTTCTAATGTGTTGCTTTAACATACCAGTGTAATATCAATTGTCGGGGTTTCAAAATACACGTACAAGTTCTAACCCGGATGTTGGGTCTCCATGCAAAACACGAGGTTTTGCTAGACAACACATTTGATGTGCCACCCTATCCAAGGATGATCTAAATAAATCAAGACAGAGTACAGTGATGATGCCAATTAGTCCTTTACAAATCTGGTAGTGATGATGCCAATTAGTCCTTTCCAAATCTGGTAGCTATTACTTGATGAGAATGCAAACTACGTCACGCATGAAGAAGTAGAAACGATCCAAGAATTGTTCAATGAATTAACAATCTACATCTTTTATTTGTGTGACACCAGAATGCGCCCCAAGTGAGTTCCGCTGTGCTGATAAGAAGCACTGCATTCGTGGAAGCCTGTACTGTGATGGGGTGACTGACTGTGCAGACCAGAGCGATGAGACCCCAGACTGTGTATGCCACTCAGACCAAATACGTTGTGGCAATGGGAGCTGCCTGGGAATCGCGTACCTGTGTGATGGAGTCAATGACTGTGGGGATTTTACTGATGAAAGCAACTGCAGTAAGTTCCATTATGAATAGAATTCACTTATTAATGATTCATAGTATTTTTTCCAATGAATATTCTAAATAACCTTTTCATGGATATTTTTTTCCTATTTTGTTCAAGGCTGTACTGCAAACCAGTTTTCATGCAACAACAGCAACAATGAATGTTTGCAGTGGATCTACGTTTGTGATGGAGAAGCTGACTGTATTGGCGGATCTGATGAAAGCGACTGTGAAAAAGGTGTGTTTGAAAATCTTCAATGAGTTTCAATATTTGAATACAGCTTTTCTTGAAAAAATTGCAGATAGACTGTCTCACACATTCGGAAGTGTTCAAGGAAACTCCTTAAATTGGACAAAACATTGGAAATTGCACTGCTGCGCCTCGAAATGTGAACAGCCCGCAAAGTGATGCTTGTTCACGACGTTTCCACTGTGTGCACAAAAACCACGTGCCAGTCCGCAAGTTTACAAATGTTATTTGTACTAATGTGTTACTTTAACATACAACTGTAATGTCAATTGTCGGGCCTTCAAAATACACGTACAAGTTCTAACCCGGATGTTGGGTCTCAAATCAAAACAAGAGGTTTTGCTAAGACAACACATTTGATGTGCCACCCTATCCAAGGATGATCTAAATAAATCAAGACAGAGTACAGTGATGATGCCAATTAGTCCTTTACAAATCTGGTAGTGATGATGCCAATGAGTCCTTTCCAAATCTGGTAGCTATTACTTGATGAGAATGCAAACTACGTCACGCATGAAGAAGTAGAAACGATCCAAGAATTGTTCAATTAATTAACAATCTACATCTTTTATTTGTGTGACACCAGAATGCGCCCCAAGTGAGTTCCGCTGTGCTGATAAGAAGCACTGCATTCGTGGAAGCTTGTACTGTGATGGGGTGACTGACTGTGCAGACCAGAGCGATGAGACCCCAGACTGTGTATGCCGCTCAGACCAAATACGTTGTGGCAATGGGAGCTGCCTGGGAATCGCATACCTGTGTGATGGAGTCAATGACTGTGGGGATTTTACTGATGAAAGCAACTGCAGTAAGTTCCATTACGAATTGAATTCACTTATTAATGATTCATAGTATTTTTTCAAATGAATATTCTAAATAACCTTTTCATGGATATTTTTTTCCTATTTTGTTCAAGGCTGTACTGCAAACCAGTTTTCATGCAACAACAGCAACAATGAATGTTTGCAGTGGATCTACGTTTGTGATGGAGAAGCTGACTGTATTGGCGGATCTGATGAAAGCGACTGTGAAAAAGGTGTGTTTGAAAATCTTCAATGAGTTTCAATATTTGAATACAGCTTTTCTTGAAAAAATTGCAGATAGACTGTCTCACACATTCGGAAGTGTTCAAGGAAACTCCTTAAATTGGACAAAACATTGGAAATTGCACTGCTGCGCCTCGAAATGTGAACAGCCCGCAAAGTGATGCTTGTTCACGACGTTTCCACTGTGTGCACAAAAACCACGTGCCAGTCCGCAAGTTTACAAATGTTATTTGTACTAATGTGTTACTTTAACATACAACTGTAATGTCAATTATCGGGCCTTCAAAATACACGTACAAGTTCTAACCCGGATGTTGGGTCTCAAATCAAAACAAGAGGTTTTGCTAAGACAACACATTTGATGTGCCACCCTATCCAAGGATGATCTAAATAAATCAAGACAGAGTACAGTGATGATGCCAATTAGTCCTTTACAAATCTGGTAGTGATGATGCCAATGAGTCCTTTCCAAATCTGGTAGCTATTACTTGATGAGAATGCAAACTACGTCACGCATGAAGAAGTAGAAACGATCCAAGAATTGTTCAATTAATTAACAATCTACATCTTTTATTTGTGTGACACCAGAATGCGCCCCAAGTGAGTTCCGCTGTGCTGATAAGAAGCACTGCATTCGTGGAAGCTTGTACTGTGATGGGGTGACTGACTGTGCAGACCAGAGCGATGAGACCCCAGACTGTGTATGCCGCTCAGACCAAATACGTTGTGGCAATGGGAGCTGCCTGGGAATCGCATACCTGTGTGATGGAGTCAATGACTGTGGGGATTTTACTGATGAAAGCAACTGCAGTAAGTTCCATTACGAATTGAATTCACTTATTAATGATTCATAGTATTTTTTCAAATGAATATTCTAAATAACATTTTCATGGATATTTTTTTCCTATTTTGTTCAAGGCTGTACTGCAAACCAGTTTTCATGCAACAACAGCAACAATGAATGTTTGCAGTGGATCTACGTTTGTGATGGAGAAGCTGACTGTATTGGCGGATCTGATGAAAGCGACTGTGAAAAAGGTGTGTTTGAAAATCTTCAATGAGTTTCAATATTTGAATACAGCTTTTCTTGAAAAAAATTGCAGATAGACTGTCTCACACATTCGGAAGTGTTCAAGGAAACTCCTTAAATTGGACAAAACATTGGAAATTGCACTGCTGCGCCTCGAAATGTGAACAGCCCGCAAAGTGATGCTTGTTCACGACGTTTCCACTGTGTGCACAAAAACCACGTGCCAGTCCGCAAGTTTACAAATGTTATTTGTACTAATGTGTTACTTTAACATACAACTGTAATGTCAATTGTCGGGCCTTCAAAATACACGTACAAGTTCTAACCCGGATGTTGGGTCTCAAATCAAAACAAGAGGTTTTGCTAAGACAACACATTTGATGTGCCACCCTATCCAAGGATGATCTAAATAAATCAATACAGAGTACAGTGATGATGCCAATTAGTCCTTTACAAATCTGGTAGTGATGATGCCAATTAGTCCTTTCCAAATCTGGTAGCTATTACTTGATGAGACTGCAAACTACGTCACGAATGAAGAAGTAGAAACGATCCAAGAATTGTTCAATGAATTAACAATCTACATATATTATTTGTGTGACACCAGAATGCGCCCCAAGTGAGTTCCGCTGTGCTGATAAGAAGCACTGCATTCGTGGAAGCTTGTACTGTGATGGGGTGACTGACTGTGCAGACCAGAGCGATGAGACCCCAGACTGTGTATGCCGCTCAGACCAAATACGTTGTGGCAATGGGAGCTGCCTGGGAATCGCATACCTGTGTGATGGAGTCAATGACTGTGGGGATTTTACTGATGAAAGCAACTGCAGTAAGTTCCATTACGAATTGAATTCACTTATTAATGATTCATAGTATTTTTTCAAATGAATATTCTAAATAACCTTTTCATGGATATTTTTTTCCTATTTTGTTCAAGGCTGTACTGCAAACCAGTTTTCATGCAACAACAGCAACAATGAATGTTTGCAGTGGATCTACGTTTGTGATGGAGAAGCTGACTGTATTGGCGGATCTGATGAAAGCGACTGTGAAAAAGGTGTGTTTGAAAATCTTCAATGAGTTTCAATATTTGAATACAGCATGTTCTTGAAAAAATTACAGATATACTGTCTCACACATACGGAAGTGTTCAAAGAAACTCCTTAAATTGGACAAAACATTTGAAATTGCACTGTTGCGCCTCGAAATGTGAACAGCCCGCAAAGTGATTCTTGTTCACGACGTTTCCACTGTGTGCACAAAAACCACGTGCCAGTCCGCAAGTTTACAAATGTTATTTGTACTAATGTGTTACTTTAACATACAACTGTAATGTCAATTGTCGGGCCTTCAAAATACACGTACAAGTTCTAACCCGGATGTTGGGTCTCAAATCAAAACAAGAGGTTTTGCTAAGACAACACATTTGATGTGCCACCCTATCCAAGGATGATCTAAATAAATCAAGACAGAGTACAGTGATGATGCCAATTAGTCCTTTACAAATCTGGTAGTGATGATGCCAATTAGTCCTTTCCAAATCTGGTAGCTATTACTTGATGAGACTGCAAACTACGTCACGAATGAAGAAGTAGAAACGATCCAAGAATTGTTCAATGAATTAACAATCTACATATATTATTTGTGTGACACCAGAATGCGCCCCAAGTGAGTTCCGCTGTGCTGATAAGAAGCACTGCATTCGTGGAAGCTTGTACTGTGATGGGGTGACTGACTGTGCAGACCAGAGCGATGAGACCCCAGACTGTGTATGCCGCTCAGACCAAATACGTTGTGGCAATGGGAGCTGCCTGGGAATCGCATACCTGTGTGATGGAGTCAATGACTGTGGGGATTTTACTGATGAAAGCAACTGCAGTAAGTTCCATTACGAATTGAATTCACTTATTAATGATTCATAGTATTTTTTCAAATGAATATTCTAAATAACCTTTTCATGGATATTTTTTTCCTATTTTGTTCAAGGCTGTACTGCAAACCAGTTTTCATGCAACAACAGCAACAATGAATGTTTGCAGTGGATCTACGTTTGTGATGGAGAAGCTGACTGTATTGGCGGATCTGATGAAAGCGACTGTGAAAAAGGTGTGTTTGAAAATCTTCAATGAGTTTCAATATTTGAATACAGCATGTTCTTGAAAAAATTACAGATATACTGTCTCACACATACGGAAGTGTTCAAAGAAACTCCTTAAATTGGACAAAACATTTGAAATTGCACTGTTGCGCCTCGAAATG